GCCAAATTTACTATAATCCATTCCCTCACCCATTTCACAAAATTTTGCCAAAACTCAAATGACATCATTCATATGAAAGTACTTAATAAGCTATAAATCATAATACAAAGAATACAGTTACTTATTTAATGTTATAGATAAGAGGAGCCCTTGTCTGTGTTAGCATTCCTTCCTACATAATTACAATCCTTAGCTTACTATTAGGTATCACCTTAAACACTATAATCTAGCAGTCAGCGGATCATAGTCTTGAGATGTTCTTTTAGTTGAATGTACTAATAATAACTACTTTTATTTAAACATTTCCTTAGTGTGATTGTCTTTAGGCTCTTAATTAACACACAGAATACTACAATTAGAAATTGAAAGCGAAGCCCAATTTAATGTGGAAAACACCACTAAACATATTAGATAATTATAGTATTTCCTCTGGAAATTGTGCTGAAACCATTTTATAGTTTAAAGGGAACGGAAACTTGAACTATACTTATATATATTTTCAAATTAATGTTTTGGTATAACTATTTTTTGGTAATTTCAATATTAATAAGGGAAAACAATTTATCTAAACGAGGCTTTATTCTTATTATACTTGACTGATGAGGAGATTATGTATTCATATGAGAACACTATTCTACAAAAATTATTAAGAATAAAGTCTAATCCAACATAGATAAGAAGAAAATAGGCATGTTTAGATATAAAAATGTGCATGGGATTTTGGTTCTAGATTGTTGTAAAATTTCCTAATTTTACTAATATACTGCAAGGTCTTTGTCTTGAAGTAAGCAGGATCAGTTTTAAAAATGCTTCAAAATAAAATCTTAGGAAACCAGTATTAAACAGTTAGAAACATTATTGAAGTATTAGCAAAATTGTTTACAATACTTAATGGCTAAAATTATTTTATACCATTTTTATATTTAAATAAAGACATATAAAAATTAATCCTAGAAAAGGTTATATTGCATTCTTTTTTAACAGAAAATAATTTGGAAATTCCCCTTCGTATAATACAACTACAGAAACATATAAATAGATCACTAGTCACCCAGTTTAGTCTCCCACTCACCCTCATTAAAGGTTTAGGAAGTAAATTTCTTCAGATTGAAGCTATGATCCTAATCTTATATATTGATAGTAATCTTCACAAATTCTTTAAAATTTTGAATTGTACATAATTGTAGTGTACAGCATGTTTTAATACATGCATATATTGTACAATGATTCACTTAGGATAGACAGCATATTCATCACCTAAACATTTATCCTTTTTTTGTGTGTGGTAATTAAGCTGAGATCTGAAATATACTATATAATATTACTAGTTATAGTCAGCCTAGAATACTTACAATGAAAAGAGGTACTCTTCACCACGCACTATTGTGTCGAACTACTTTCTATACTTATCCAACAAATTGATGTTTACATAGAAACAGTAAAATAATTTTAATGATAATTAGAGTAAAAAAGGATACAGGTAAGAAAGAGATAAATCAGTTCAAAATTACAACAAAATTCCAAGCCAAAACTCCAGAAACATGATTTTTTAATTAACACTGTGTTAGTAGCCTCTCTTATTAGTCTATGATTGTGAAAGATCACTTATGTTCTAACCAAAAGATCTGGACATCCACAAGGAAAATATTCCAGTATAGCTTTAAAGTAAGTATGCAAGCAATTTATGCAACTCTCTTTTTTTGCTTAAAAAAAGAAAGTTTCCAAATAAATTGATAAGAATCTTTTACTATCTGTATATTCTTCAAATATAAATCATTACTGTAAAATGTACAATATAGTTAATATTTACTGTGTTTTAAATATTTACTGTGTTTTTGCATTTGAAAAAGTGTAGCCAAAATAAAAATTATCTTCAAATTGATCACAATATCTACGTGACTCTGCAAAACTGAACATATTTTACAAGAAATAGTGTTTTCAGGACATACAATTGATTTTTAAGAGTACGTTGCACCATCTAATGAGAATCACTTCTACATGGGAACCATGGTAAATTTTTCACTTTTAACAATCTTAATGCCCCACTTGGACTCTTGTTTCTCAGCACATTTCTTAAATTCCGTCAAGAATCTGCCTTTGGGACCAATAGATTTTGTTTTCTGCATTTCTTAAGCAGTATCAAAATTTCACTGTTTCATGGATATTTAGAAGTGGACAAAAGTGATTTGGAAATATGTCTGATGTACCATTTTGGGTCAAAACTGAAGTAAAATGTAAGATAAGGATTTTGCATATTTTGGAGTTTCATTCTGAAGGCAAACTGAAAAGTTCCAAAATCATTCTAAATTTAAAAAAACTAATTCAATCTTCTGATAAATTAATTTAAGTAGAAAGTTTAGTTTGCTATGTATGTATATATATATAATATAGTTTATAAAATATTTCTAAAAAATATAGTAGCTATATTTATGCTAATATTCATATATATTTTATACTATGGATAAATGTTAAATGTTTTTATTATGGTAAACATACATAAAATTTATAAACATACACACACACATATACACACACACATTTGTATTAGTGGCATAATATTAACATTGTACAAAAGTGATTTGTCTTTATGTTAATTTTTGAGGACAACATACATGGTTAAAAGAATCAGCCATTTACAAGTGGTCCTAAATGAAGTAAAGTGATTCAGCTCTCATTTTCCTTTCTATTAATAAAAAAGCAAGAATGTATGCATCTTACATAGTTGTAGTTTTAGTTTAATTCCGTAGCCCAAACTTGAGAAAGAAGATTGCGGACTTGAAAATTTAAGATCTTTACAAAGAGAACTGTTAGGAATACTGGTTTAAAGAAAGTTTAAATTATCTCTCAGCTTCATGAGTTCACTGGTAAACTCTAGCTCTTGGCACTATGCTATAGGAGCTATTATAAATTAGGGTTAAGAATCCCTCTGAAATACACCTGGAGAGATATTCCAGGCACTTATTCTGTGTCTGGCTTAGCTCATTATTTGCACAAACAATCACAGAAGAAAAATATTATGCAATTTATTCATTAAATAGCAAAAAATAAAGGGGGGGGGACAAAAAGAGAAGTTAAAATATTTGAGTCTATTTTTTAGTAATTATGTAAATGGTTTTATTTAATGGGGCAGCAGAGCTTTGCTCATTTTGAATAGTAATCCTAGCTATGGCCCAAACTTGAGCTTAATCATAGTTAGGCCATATCTTGAGTTAGGCCATATCTTCACTGGCAGAACAAATGGGTGGCTTAAAATTTGATCAGTACAGTCAATCAAATAAGAAAGTCTTCAAATCACACCCTACCCACCCCCACCCTCCGCCCTCACCAGTGCCCTTTGCTGTCTACCCAAGTTAGCATTTTCCTTCAGAGGCATTAATAATTATTTTTGAACCAAACTTACCAATGTCATCATCTCAATTACTACCTTAATTTTGTCTTGCTAAACAGAATTTAATCAGTCAAGTTATATTTATTAAGGACCTTATATGTTCTATTTTTTTATTTATGCCTCCCAAAAGTAAAGATATGAGGGCAATAATCTTGAAAAATGGTATTTTCACTAGTCACATGATCATTTTAAATCCTGTATGTAGTTTCACTTACCAAAAAATAAAAATCATTCTTTTCATTACTAAATGTTTAAATGCTTTTTGAATAATTTAGTGTATGTGGCTTCAGATGATCTGAGGTAAGGTATGCTTGATATTTAATTATGAAATGAGATCATTTAAAAGTACAGATTTTACATCAGCTTTTTAAAATGAAAAAGTGATTAATGTAGTTCCTAGGAGGAAATGATATAACATCTACAACAGTATTTTTTAGATCCCATAATTTTATTTAAACTGAATGTGCTTTTAAACTCATCAGTTAAAAACACCAAGCGACATGCAACTAAACAACATCCTATTAACATTTTTCATTGTCTATATATTCATAAACTTGTTAACCCAATTCTCAGCTGTCATATTTGCTTGTTTTTATTTTTTACCAAATAGTCACAGGGCTCATTAAAAGAAGAAAATAAATAGATTCCTAGGAAGATCATTGAACTTTTTAATGCCAACATAGCAATTAAGGCAAAAACAAATTTATACACAGAACTTATTATGCCCCAGAAAACAGGCAGATTGTGAAAAAAGATGGCATGCACAACAAAAACATTTGTTCTATTAGTTTATGATATTCTTGTAAACATATACTTTGAAAAATGAAAAAAAAATAATACCTTGTTTAGAAATAGTGTTATCCCTGATTTTCGTAAAATTACTTTTATCTGGAAATAAGTAGTTTAGCAATGACAATTTGAAAGAAGTTTGTTTATATTTTATGTCAATAATAATTTTGTACAAGTAGCTTTTGGGGCACTAAGTATTAGCAAAGATTAATTTTAATTCATTCTCTAAAAAGAAAAAGAATATTTTTCTGGCTTTCATCTCACTCAAGAAAATAAAAAAGTTACTTAAAAATATTAAATGTTACTCCAAAGAGACATTTTTTTTTAAATGAGAGAAAAAGATAAAAAGTATCAGAAAATGCCAAATATATTATTAGGAAACAGGTATGATTATGAAACTTTCCCCATAATTTTAGTCTGTTAGGAAAAATATATTGCAAAAATTATTTAAAATCAGATTATACTCACTTTTGCATATGTCATATGATTGCTTATATTACCAATTATTTCTGCAAACCTTGTTTTCTTAAATTATTTGAACAAATGCAAGCAGTATTTTCATTAAAATTTACTTCTCTGCAACAGATTGACAAAATATTTTATCATGTCCCATTTTCTTCCAATAGACTCAGATTTGAATCTCCCCCTAATAATTTGCTTAGCATTAAGAAAGAATGATAAAAAAAAAAAAAACATACAAACTCCCTTTAATTTAAATTCGCATTCAAGAAGTGCTTGTCTGATACAATTCAGCTGATAAATATGAACCTATGTGTTTATCAAATCCCTAAGAAGATTATCTAAATCAACTCCGTGTAATTACCATTCACCATCTGTTCCACCAGGGCCTGAGCTGATCTGCTGGCATCTTGCAGTTTTCTGAACTTCTCGGCTTTTTCTCGCTCTATGGCCTGCAGCATGATAGCAAAGGTGAGTATTTCAATACAAGTATTGTGAAGCTACACAGTAATTATAACTTCTACTTGCCCTTTCAAGCCTTAAGATATTTCACTCTGTCAGCTTATCATTTGAATCTAAAGACATTTTTCTCAACTCTTTTGGCATCAAAAGTATCAAAATGGCAATGAAAGCAAAAACCATTTTCATCTTGAATTGCTACTATTTTTAACAATAAGATTTCTACTTATAACTTTCTTTGACATAATAGTTTCTGATGCATTGCAGTGCAAGACTGCAAAATAACAAAAACAGAAGCAAAAAAAAAAAAAAGCGAATCATAGCAAGCAATGAAAGATAAAATGCCAGATAATTAAAATAAAATTTATCTTTTAATGATATACCACTGAAATTACTGCTAATAACATAAGTATATAATCACTATTAAAAATAAAATTGAGAATCCAGTAAGTATGTAAAATGGAAAAAAGTACACTAGCATAAATAATTTAACAGGAAAAAAAACATATATAATTAAATAAAAAACTGTGAGCTAATTTTTCTTCCTAAAATAGTCAAAGTACTTTTATGTCCAAGGAAAAATAGATTTAGTTTCAAACAGCTTTCTAAATTTTTTGCTCATTTCTACTAATCAGAATTAACTTTTGAACAACAAATAAATCATGTTTTAAATTAACAAAAGCTGTGTATTCTATACTATTGAGTTTAGCAAATAACATTTCTACAGAGACATAAATTTTAAACCACAATGCAGTAGATTTGCCTATAACAATATAGACTATATGTCCTAAAACATGACTATCCACAAAAAAAGCTATAATGCAAATAATATATAGCAAGAGCAATAATTATGTGACTAAATAATAGCTTTATAAAGAAGATTTTACTTGAGTTTAGATTCAGGAGGTTATTCTATATTAGACTATTTTTCAAAACTATATTATACCTACAGGGATTTAAACATATATTCCAAAGTCTAATATTGAGTACAGGTGAGAAGGCATATAATAGACACATGCACACTCTGCATTTTTAATTAGCATAAGTTTGTGCTGTCCAGTACAGTAGCCAATAGCCACATGTGGGTATTGAGCACTTGAAAGGTGGCCAGTTTGACTAAGAGAATAAATTTTTAATTTAATTTAATCTAATTGTATTTAATTAAACTAATTTAAATTTAAAACGCCACATGTGTCCAGTGTTAACTGTATTGTACACTGCAGATCTAGTGTCTTCCCTTTGAAAGCAAATAGATAAAGATAGATAAATTGATAGATACGTATATAAAGATATAAATATAGATATAAATAATATGGTGACATCAAAAATACTTTTAGAGAAATAAGCAAATATCTAAACTATTTCCCAAGCATATCAAGTTATGGAAATACTTAAAAAATAACCCATATATTTTTAAGTATTCGAAGACTCTCTAAAGAAATAGCTACAATTCAATAAAGATTTTAAAAAAATATTTAAAAGAGTTTTATAAGTGGAAATCCTGACAATATCTGACTTCATGATTTGCTACAAAACCACAGTAAAGAAGACGGTATAATACTGGCAAAAGGATAGACAGATAGATGAATGGAACAGAATAGAGAGCTCAGGAATAGACCCATAAAAATATAGGCAATTGCTCTCTGACAAAGGAACAAAGGCAAAACAGTATAGTCTTTTCAACACATGGTGCTGGTACATCCACATGCAAAATAATGAATCTAGACAGAGACCTTAGATCCTCCACAAAAATTAACTCAAAATAGATCACAGACTCAAATGTAAAATGCAAAACTATGTAACTCCAAGAAGAAAACATAGGAAAAAATCCTGATGACCCTGAGTTTGGGGATGACTTTTTAGGTACAATACAAAAAAACAATACATTAAAGAAAGAATTGATAACCTGGACTTCATTAAAATTAAAAATTTCTGCTCTGTGAAACACACTGTCAAAAGAATACAAAGAAATGCCACAGACCGGAAGAAAATATTTTCCAAAGACATATCTGATAAAATACTGCTATCCAAAATACACCAAGAACTTTTAAAACTCAACAAGAAAACAAATGACCCAATTTAAAAATGGGCAAGAGATCCTTAACAGACTCTTCACTAAAGAAGACATATAGATAGCAAATAAGCAGATGAAAAGATATCCCACATTAAATATCATCAGGGAATTATAAATTATAACAAAGATATACCACTGCACAACTATTAGAATGGCCAAAATCCACAATACTGACAATACCAAATGCTGGTGAGGATGTGGAGCAACAGGAACTATCATTTGTTACTTATGCAAAATGGCACAGCCACTGTGGAAGACAGTTTGGAGGTTTCTTACAAAACCAAACATGCTCTTACCATACAATTCAGCAATCACACTTTTTGGTATATACCCAAAGGAGCTGAAAACTTATACTCACACAAAAACCTGCACAGGGATACTTACAGAAGCTTTTTCATAACTGCCACAGCATGGAAACAATCAAGATGTCTTTTAGTAGGTTAATGGATAAATAAACTATGATACTTTCAGACAGTGGACTATTATTCATCACTAAAAAAATTGTGCTATCAAGTCATGAAAAGATATGTAGAAAACTTAAGTGCATATGACTAAGTGAATGGAGCCCCTCTGAAAAAGCTACATACCGAAGGATCCTAATGATATGACATTCTGAGAAAGGCAAAACTATGGAGACAGTAAAATAATCAGTGGGTTCTTGAGGTTGAGGGGGAAGAACGGATGAAAAGGCAGAGCACAGAGGGTTTTTACAGCAGTAAAATTACTCCAATTACTTGTATGATACCACAATGTTGGACACATGCCATCATAAATTCATCCAAACCCACAGAATGCACAACACCATGAGTGAACCCTAATGTGAACTAAGGAATCTGGGTGATAATGATATGTCAATGTGTGTTCATCTACTGTAACAAATGCACTTCTTTAGTGGGGGATGTTATTAATGTGGGAAGCTATGCATGTGTGGGGGAAGTGGGTATATGGGAACTCTCTGTACCTTCTGTCCAGTTTTGCTGTGTAACTAAAATTACTTTAAAAAATAAAGTCTGCTAAAATCTCAAAAAAGTTTTATGAATTAGGGTTAATGGATTTAATATCAAGAATAAAAAATGCTTATAGATCTGACCGTCAATATAATAAATTCTAATCAGTAACATCTGTAATAAATAAAATACTAATTAAAATTTAAAATAAATGAATAGTGAAATAAAACACTATGAAGTGATAGTCTTGCTTTGTTTTATTTTTTTACATAGTACCTATAGCTTAGCTAAACATTATGCATTATGCTGTGAAGGGCAGAAAATGAAAACTCAGTTTCATCTTATTGGTAAAGAAACTCTGAAGGTGACATTTCAACTGATCTTGGATTCCACTCGAAAATTTCAAAGCACACAGATTGTGGTGTTTTGTGATTATAAGCTCCCAGGATCCCATTCCAATTAGCAGGTGAAACTTCTGGGTTGTTCTGAAAATCATGTTCATAAAGATAGTATTAAATTGTTCCCACAAACATGTAGAAAACCATAGAAGGCTCTAACTTGCTGCTTGAATTGAAAAATCCATGAAAATAAAGTAGCCACATAATCTGGTTAAAGATAAGGTCCCTGAAGAATCTCCAAAATTCACATTTTCTCAACTCCTCAACTTCCATGTTCTAAATTCTCTGTCCTAAGCTGCTTATGTTTTCCAACGCTTAAATCTGTTCTGCATTAAAAGGTAAATGTCTGGATAGCTGTAGAGGTTCCGAGAGGGAGGCATGCCCAAAGAGAGCATGGAATCTCTGCACCCCTTCTCCCATATCTTGTCCTATGCATCTCTTCATCTGTATCCCTTGTAATAACCTTAATAATAAAAGTGGTAAATGTGAGGAGAGTGGACTGGAAAAAATGTTATTTGCTCAAGATTATACAGCTAGCATATGCTCAAAACTCAAAATCAGATGTACTAACTTTTCCAGAGATTAAATAAACCAGTAGTTGTTTTACAACTACACCATAACTGGATGATTAGTATGGAATCAGTATCAAAAAATAAAGATGCCCAATTACATCTACTGGACTTATCTTTTGCAGAGCCATTGGCTTATGCAAATAATAAACTAAAGCAAACCTACCAGAGGGTGGGGCAAGATGGCAGACTATAGGTATCCAATACAACATCCTCCCACAGAAAGGGACCAGAATAAGGAAAGGACAGGTAAGTAGAGGTGAGAACATCAGTAGAAGAGCATGGGAGGGCAGTGGGAACCTGGTGAGGACCCTGTGGAGCACAAAAATCAAGCAGGGTTGTATAAAGGAGAAAGAGGCACATAGCTTCAGCTGCTGCCACATCTCCCAAACCAGGAACAGCCAGCGGGATTTCTCCCTTTCAATGGAATGAATCTAGTGGACTGTGAACATTTCTCAGCAGTAATCCTCCTTCCACTCCTGCCCAAGGCCACCCACACCACCGCTACAGATACCAACCAACAGGCAATATATAACAAATCTACAGAAGGGAGTCTCTATCCTCAAAAGCCATCCCATAGTAACAGAAGAAGCAATCACCAGATGACTAGGCATCAATGTAGAAGCCTAGAAATAAAAAAGTAAAAAGAAAATATGAAAATATGACACAACCAAAAGAATAAAATACTTCTCAAATATCAGACCCATACAACAGGAAACCCTTGATATGGGGAATTCTAAAAGGAAATCCCAAGTAAAAATCTTAAAGAAACTCAGTTAGATACAAGAAGACTCAGTCAGACAACAGAATGAAATGAGAAAAACAATCCAGGACAGGAAGGGAAAAATTTACAAAGGGAAAAACACCATATAAAAGAATGTAGCAGAACACCTGCAACTGAAAGACCCATTCAATGAAATGACAACTACAATTGAGAGTGTAAGCAATAGGCTACAGCAGGCAGAAGAAAGAATTTCCAATCTTGAAGGTAGCCTGTTCTAAATA